TTTAGTCTATATTTACTCAGCGTACAAGTGTTGCTTGAATCAACACGTGTTAAAATGGATAATGTACAATACTGAATACAGTGGTATTATGAATGATCAACAAATTCAGCGACAAGCATATGCATTATTTACAGATGCATGGGTCTTTAATATTTTCCCCCTTCAGAACACAGACTTCTTCCCTCATTCTAAAATGGAGGAATGTAAGTAATAAAAATGAAAACTAAATAGTAAAATTTATGACTCCATGTGTTCTGACAACTTGGAACTAAAATAAGTTAAATATTAGTTTCAAGATCTGATCACATTTATAATCCGTTCAACAATTCTGTATCAAGTCTTGCATTTTTGCCCTTGTCTTCGACCTGTAGATGGAGATCTTGTGGATTATATGCCAATATCTGGAGGGCTCAAGATGTTGGTAAAAGCTGTCCCACTATATGCCATGTAGGCACTTGCTTGGGGGGAGAGGGAGTATAGCTCCTACTCATTCTTAACTTTGACACTAGATAGGGGTCATGCCCCAGCCACACTTTACCACTAGGAAAGGGCCCTGATACCCAATGTATATTAGGCTGGGTGGTCCCTAGAGCCAGTCTGGATGCAGAGGCTAGAGGAAAAATCCACTTCCCCAGTCAGGGATGAAACCCAGTCATCCAATCCTTAGTCAGTCACCACACTGACTGAGCTACCCACCTCATTCCAAAATGTTGGTATATAACCAAAATACTACATGCTGTAATAATCCAGATGACCACTATGTTTCTTCACACTGCCATGATAACCAGAAGTCCTACAGACCCTCAGTTTACTGAACAGAAAATAAAAAATGTTCTGAAAATGCTGAAGGGAAACAAATCTAGACAGAATTAGCAGGCGCCAAAGCACAGTTATCCAGTCAAACTCAGGCAGTGCCATAGTGGTGATACCAACAGAGAGTATATATCTAGAAAAATAAATTAATTTTTAATTTGATGCATATAAAATGGAGAATTGTATTTGTGAGTTCAAATTAATGTCCTAAAGCATAAATGTCGCAATATAAAGTAATGATTTTTCTGATATAATATGTTTTCCTTATTTTGATTTACATTTGAAAGATAAATGTTTTGCCTTGTAATAAGTTACTACATAACGCCTGCTACAAAAAATCCTTTCATCTCCTAGCATCAAAGATGTGAGCACAGACTGACATTATAGTAAATGTGAGACCAACACAATTTTTTATGTCACTACAGACAACCTGAGACCAAAGCATCACCCTTACACATATAACCTTGATCAGAATACAAGTTTTGGTGGTTATGAATTGTGGGAGTAAACATCAAATTTTACATCCTAGACCGACATGAATAACCCATAAAATTAATGTGCTGACTACAAAGTCAACTCTGAAGATAATAATCATGTCCAAAATTCTGACAGAAACAAAAATACTGACATACTTCTATTACAGATCATATGTTTGTGTCATGACACTGTATTTTTGTCGGTGGTCACCAATGGTTTGGAAGAACCTACTGCCTCCATCTTCTGGGTAGGAGTTCCCTGAAGATGGCTGTAGGTAACCATCTACGGAGTCATTCTCAGCAAATTATGTGGTGAAAACCTCAAATCTGATACATATGTCTTTCATCACCAGTTGAAGCAAGAAAGAGGGGTCTGAAAACATTACTAAAGCAAATTCATGAAAAGTGAGTGTAACTGCTTTGTTTCTTTCTTTCTGAACTCACTGATATGTATCTGTGTAATACT